TTTTCCTGTGAGGGTGGTGAGACAGTGCCAGAGGATGCCCAGGGAGGCTGTGACTGCCCCAACCCTGGCACTGTTCAAGGCCAGACTGGATGAGCCTTGAGCAACCTGATCTAGTGAGGAGGTGTCCCTGCTCAGGGCAAGGCAGGGTTGGGACTGGATGATCTTTAAGGTCCATTCCAACCCCTAAATTCTATGATTCTATGAAAACTAAGCACATCCCAGCCCAAGAGGCAGTCCATGTAGTCTAGCATTATGCTGCCTGTCATGGGGTGTGAGCTGGAGTGTTAAAACAAGTGGTGGTATAGGTGAGCAGTAGGAAAAGCCACACAGGGGTATGACTGGCAGGGGACACTTGATTTTCAGCAGCGTGGAGTTCGCTGTGGTTTACTCCTTTCCTCACCCAGCCTCTCTGCCTCTGTGAAATGTAGCTGCAGGACTTGGGGACACTTAAAACCATCCAAGGGAAAATTCATCGTGCACACTATTCTTCTGTATGACCCCAGAATTTTATTGCTCTAATTTTCTTGCCTGTGTTCAGTTCTGGTTGTAATTTCTAAGTGCTGGGGCCAGGGAACCTGCCTGTCTTTATTGGAAATGGTTGAGAACATTGCCTATGGAAAAAAAAAGCCATAAAAGAAAACTGCCTGGTTTACAGAAACCCCCAAAGTTAAATGGTCTTGGGGGGAAGGAGGTGCCTTAGCTAGCAGAGAAGTTGGATGGGTGGGAGATGGACAGGGCAGGGGGCAGGCAGGGCTTGCTCTGGGTGTGATGTTGAGGCCATCAGGCCAAGGAGCCCTCAAGGCCTTAATGGAGAGGTGGAGCAGCCAAGGGGACAGGCAGCAAGGAGCAGCTCTGCATGTGTAACAGGCTCTTTGGTGGCTGTACTGCACAGAGTAATTCCCTGTGGATTTCCACTATATGCAGCTGGAGGCATCAGGCAGGTCCTGTGATCAGCAGTTTTGGGTGATGTCAGGGCGATGTTGTAGGTAGTGCTGTGATTCTCACCCAGTGCACTTGCTTCTCCAAGAGCTGCACCATAGGTAGAGAAGGTTTGCCTGGGAAAGGCAGGCAGGCTTTGAGAGGCACGTGAGGGCTCTTTCCTGTGGGTGTCCCTGCCTTCCATCACTTATCCAGTGCTTGCTTTAGGCTCATCATCTCAGGACAGGGGAGTGGAGGCAGAAAAGAAGCTAGTGTAGCCATGAAAGGGAATATTGTCTTTCGCTAGCCCTCTTGCATCACCACAAGTTGCTCCTTTGGCTGCTCCATGGTTTTCCACGTTTGCAGTGTTGCATCCCTGATGTTTGCATGTGGTCTGAATTTTCTCCAGTTCCTTCTGCCATGGTATGTTGCAGGAGGTGACAGGTTGGCACTGGAGAGACACAGAGGGACTCTGGCCATGTCGCCAAATCCATGTGCCAAGCCTGAACATCTGAAGACTGATTGCAGCTGGTTCCTTCCCTCTTGCAGGGCTTCATCACTCATGACCCCTCCAGGGAAGCTGCCAGTGTTGAGTGCTAACGCAAGTGGGGTCATCCTGTAAGAAGAAACAGGAGTGTTGAGACTGTTGGGATCATAGAATCATAGAATTTTAGGGGGTGGAATGGACTTTAGAGATCCTCCAGCCCCAACCCCTGCCCTGGGCAGGGACTCCTCCCACCAGAGCTGGTTGCTCAAGGCTCATCCAACCTGGCTGTGAACACTGCCAGGGTTGGGGCAGCCCCAGCCCCCCTTGGCCACCTGTTCCCTGTCTCACCACCCTCACAGGGAGGGTGCGGATCATTTAATTACTGCACAAATACTTATTGCTGTTTATATGCATCTTTCTTCCATAAAAGTCCTGTAGACACCACATTTTCAGTGACATGTCCTCTCCAAAGTCACACTGTAGCACTGCCTTCTGCATCTGGAAAGGTGCTTTCCTCAAATCCTCACGTGGCTGTTCATGTACCACTGATCACAAATTTAACTGTTAAAGCAGTTTTAAAAATTAAACTGAAGGTTAACATTCAGTTTTTCTTTCTGCAGGCCTTTGGAAATGCTAGGACAACAAGGAATGACAACAGCAGTCGCTTTGGGAAATACATTGAGATTGGCTTCGATAAAAGATACCACGTCAGCGGTGCCAATATGAGGACCTATCTCATGGAAAAATCTAGGGTTGTGTTTCAGGTGAGGAGTTGTGCTTTCTCTTTCCCCTTCTTGTCTTTCTTTTGGGTGCTGTACTCTGGGAATTCAATAATCTGTCTTTTCTATGGATTAAAAAAAAAACAGTTTAAAAGTAGCATCATCATAATTTTTTGGAAAAGTCCTTTAGACCATTAAGTCTAACCCTTTCCCCAGCACTGCCAAGGCCACCACTGACCATGTCTCCGAGTGCCACATCCACATGGCTGTTAAATTAAATCCCTCGTGGTGACTCCACCACTGCCCTGGGCAGCTGTGTCAGGGTTGGCCAGTCCTCTCCATGGAGAAATTGTTGCTAATGTCCAGTCTAAACCTCCCCTGGCACAGCTAGAGTGTGTTTCCTTTTGTCCTGTCACCTTCCCGGTGGACACAACTTCCAGACATGTCTTTCAGGCTCAGTCTTTTACACTTGCCCTTGATGATCCCAACCTGATGACCCTCATTTTGGGGTAATGTGTACCTATTTGGCCAGTCCTCTCCATGGAGAAATTGTTGCTAATGTCCAGTCTAAACCTCCCCTGGCACAGCTAGAGTGTGTTTCCTTTTGTCCTGTCACCTTCCCGGTGGACACAACTTCCAGACATGTCTTTCAGGCTCAGTCTTTTACACTTGCCCTTGATGATCCCAACCTGATGACCCTCATTTTGGGGTAATGTGTACCTATGAAACTTGTTAGTTGGCCTGGGGTTGTTTTCTCTATCAGCCTGAAGCTGGATCCCAGGGGAAGGATTACTGCTTCTAGGCCGGGATGGGAAACCTTTCTCTGGCCAACTGCTGAGCTTTTTTATTGAACCTTATAAAGAGCTGGAGAGAACTGCAGTGACAGAACAAGGAGCAATGGAGATAAATTGAAAGAGGGCAATTTAGATCAGATCTTAGGAAGTTTTCCCTATGAGGGTGGTGAGACACTGTCCCAGGTTGCCCAGGGAGGCTGTGGCTGCCCCAGCCCTGGCAGTGCTCACAGCCAGGTTGGATGAAGCCTTGAGCAACCTGCTCCTAACCTGCAGGGGTTAGGATGTACCTCAGAAGCACCTGCAAAACTTTTGTCCTTACACAAAAGCAAACCCAACTACAAAAATCCTAAAATGTAAACAACTTTGGGAAGCCATGAGACTTTTTTATGTTACTATTGGTTTGTAACTCAGAGCTTGCTGAATAACTTAGCCTGGTTGTCCTAGAGAGGGATAAGATGTATGAAGTTATCTATTTGTTTTGCAAGACGGGCAATGTATGTTGGTCAGGGCAAGTCTTGGCACCTCTCAGGTGTCAAAATGTCCCTGTCTTGGTGTCACTGAGGGGGTCTTGGTGGTGGGAAACAGGGAATGACCTCAGTGGGCACCAGGCTGAGGGTGGGAGCACTGCTGTAACCTCTTTGTGCCTCTGGTAACTTGGTGTTTCCCTGTAGGCAGAGGATGAGCGCAACTACCACATCTTCTATCAGCTTTGTGCCTTGTCAGGTCTTGAAGAATTCAGAGACCTCAGACTAAGTAAGTACTTGTACCTCCCTGTGGCTGTTGCCTAGTTCTGATGGTAACAGGAAAACATGGCGGGGTTAGAAGTGCAGGTCAGTGGTGAGGTCATGTGTGCCTGTTCAGTGGGAGGAGGTGAAGGGAGATGAGCTTTAAGGGCTTCTTCTGCCTGGGGGTGCACAGGTTTGCTCATGCCATCTTCAGGGATCTGATGACTTGGATGAGGGTGCTGAGGCACTGGCACAGGTTGCCCAGAGCAGCTGTGTCTGCTCCATCCCTGGAAGTGCTCCAGGCCAGGCTGGATGGAGCTTGGAGCAACCTGGTCTAGTGGAAGGTGTCCCTGACCATGGCAGGGGAGTTGGAGCTAGATAATGTCTTCCAACCCAAACCATTCTGGGATTCTAGAGTTTTGGTAGAACAGGCAGCAGAGCCACAGTGAAACTACACACTGTGGTAGATGGCACAGGGGTATCATGTATTAATATTGTATCAAACTTGCATAAAGACGTGTATATTAAATCAAGTGTTAGTATGGGTTGATCTGACCACAGTCTTGGCAGGAGCAGTTGTGTCCTTTGAATCCAATATATTTTTTCCAGTGGTTAACTCCTGCAGTGGGTTGGGTTTTTTTCCCTGGGATTTGCAGTAAAATCTCAGTAGAACACCTGATTGAGAGGGTTTGCACTTGCAGCAGGAGGTGCAGAGCTGTGTTGTAATTAATTTTTTATCTTGAATATCTGCTGTTGCTTAGGAAGAGAAGTGAGGCTGAAAACATGCTTTTAAGTATTTAAAATGGTGAGCAAAGCAGGTTGTGATCCCAGCACAGGCTCTTGCAGAGGTTTCCATCCTGGTTGCATAGGAATGGCACATCAAGAGAGAAACTTTGCTTTTCTGGGTAATTCTGAGCTGGTCTGAATGACTTCTTGAGTCACCACATTGGCTACACAGAGCACATCACTGACCACTTTCAGGAGTTTCCTCCATGGGGTTATATGCTTCATTTTTGCAAAGACACCCTGAGTAATGATGATGTCTGCTGGCATCTTAAAATTCAGGCACAAATTATTTCAGCCCAGGCTGGGAGATGAGCTGATGTATGAGAGCTCCAGCTGTGAAACCACTGCTGTCTTCTTGCGAACATGTGGATCAGGGGATATACCAGTCTTACTCATCACTAAAAGCATTGTCTGTTTGTGGTGACTGGTAATAGAGCAGGCTGAGAGCTCCCTGCTCTGCTGGTGCATCATCCAGGACAGCTTTGTGCCATTGTGACTGTGGCTCTCAGCTTCAGTGCCTCCAGGGAGAATGCGTAATGGCAACAGCTGGTGGTGTCGGAGGCGACAGATGCCAGGGCACTTAGCACAAAAGGAAGCCTTCTTGGGTCATTTTTAATCAAAATTGGGTGTTGTCAGTGCATGTCACTGTTCCGTGGTTCTTGTGCATCTGCTGTGTCACCATGTGCATGCGTCAAATCCAACACTGGAAAAAGAAGTGATCCTTTCCAGAGCTGAAGGTGTGTGTCTTTGGTGTTTCCTGCACTGTCACCTTGCCATAGCTTAAAAATAACTCTCCACAATGCTTTGGTGGCTGGCAGGTGTGAGGCTGCTCACATGCTCAGTGGAGACAGGGACGTGAGTGCAGTGAGCTGCTCTTGTCAGCGTGACACAGTCTCTGCCTGTACCTGTTGAATTTCTAGTGCTGACCACTGTTCTGTGAGTGCAGATGTGAACAGTTTACTTATTTATCTTTCTTGTGGGTGTTTTTTTCACTTGCAACTTTCCCTCAGGTTTACTAGCCTGAACCTCAAGATGGGTAGTCAGAACTCAAGTTTATTTCCTCATGTGAGCTGTTCTTACCTCACCTGTCAACCTTGTCTTCCCAAGGCTTATGCCATACCAGCGGTATCTTGATGTGAAAATCCAACTTTTATTAGACATGGAAGAGGATGTCTATTTTCCCATATGAAAAATAGGAGCTGTTGCTTCTCCTTTGGGTCTTGCACACACAAAGAATTGTTACTCTTGCATGTTGTAAAATGCTGGAAGACAGTCTCTAACTTGAGCCCAGCAGAGCAAACCAGTGTTGGCTTCAGTCAGAGTGATCCTGAAGGCTTAATTTTAAACTAGAAAATAAATATTTGACTTAAAATGTTGGTGTGCAATGTAAGTGCCTTTTGAAGTGCTGTGTGCTTAATGGTGCTTGGGTAGTTGGTGCAAA